ATTCCAGCACATGACGACCAGTTTTCAGGTCCAAGACCTGTCATTTTTGGTAAAAAGTGATATTTTCGACTTCTTGTTAAAAACCGCAAGTGCAATTGCTTTGATACTACATATATAGGTACTAAATGTGGACCTCTCTCAGATTTGTTCATTTTGTGATGATATCTTCAATTCTCTAATTTTGGTGAATATTTTTGTAACTTTTGGTAAAAAGTGATATTTTCGACTTCTTGTTAAAAACCAATAGTCCGATTGCTTTGATATTACATATATAGGTACTACATGTGGACCTCTCTCAGATTTGTCCATTTTGTGATGATATCTTCAATTCTCTAATTAATTTATTTTGGTGAATATTTTTGTAATTTTTGGTAAAAAGTGATATTTTCGACTTCTTGTTAAAAACTGTAAGTCCGATTGCTTTGATACTATTCATATTGTTCATTTTCTAATGATGTCTTCAGTTCTTTAATTGAAATGTGCATTGCTAACAGCGGAGCTATCTCAGCCGATAGGCTGCTTGTTTTAAATTATATTTTACGGACGATTTTTTAGATTTGTTGGTTGGGGAAACAAATAAATACGCTAGACATAGACAGGAAGTTATTGGTCTTCATATGACCGTCTCCAAGTTCCCGGAGTGGCAAAAGTCATGCCACGAAACAGGTTCGTCAAAATTAGCCAGTATCTCCATCTCAGTGATTCTGTTAGCGAACCTGATCGGACTGACCCAAACCGCGATCGTCTTTACAAAGTTCGGCCTATCATCGACCTTGTGTAAATTTACAGGCAGGTCTCGTATGGTCCAATATATGCCCGGGAAGCCAGTAAAGTAGGGCTTCAAAATATGGTCTGTCGGATGTCCCAGAACAGGCTACACATTTCATATGTCCCCATACACTGGCAAGAAAAGCACTCCTGAGAAAGGTCTTGGTTACCAGGTTGTCTGTGATTTAACACAGCAATATTTTAATTTTGGTCGCCATATTTATTATAATTTTTTCAGTTCTGTACAGATAGCATTAGATTTATATTCCAAAGACACATATATTTGTAGCACCATTCGTAAAAATAGTAAAGGGCTGCCAGGGGAAATAAAGAATTCTGTGAAAATGAAAAAAGGTGACTATATTGTACGTCAGAGTCAGAAAGTTGTTGCTTGTACCTGGTATGATAAACGTGAAGTTCGAATGCTGACAACAAATTGTTCACCAGGTGGGAGAGATGTCACCAGGGGTGGGAAAACATTTTTTACTCCTTTTTCTGTTTTGCAATATAATCTGAGTGACCAGTTGGCATCTTACTATTCCATTAGTAAAAAGTATATGAAATATTGGAAGTATCTTTTTTTCTTCTTTATCCAATGAATGATTGTTAATTCTTTTATTTTATATTCAATTGCTCACTCCCCTAACCCAAGAAGAAGGTATAGGCAACTAGATTTTCGTCTTGATTTATCAAGTCAGCTCATTGCTGGGTACTGTAGTCGTAAAAAACGTGGGCCACAACCACAGTCACTTGGTGTTGAAAACAGCTTGAGTTGCGCAAACCTCCCTACTCATAAGTGTGAAATGATGCAACCAAATTCCAAGCGAAAGAAACGTTCTTGTAAATATTGTTCTAGAATTGGTAAGAAAACTCCTAAGGGTTATTCTGTGGGTGCAAGTTTTGTAATGTATTTCTGTGTAAAGATGACTGCTTTATCAGGTACCATGCCTGTATGCTACAGCATTGAGTAATATTTTTTATAATAAATTAGAAAGCAAGTGAATTGTAAATGTGTGTTTTTTTAAATGAAATGAAACTACAGTGTCCTAGTCTTCTTTTCCCTGTGTACATGTCAACCTACCTGGCTCACACTGAATTGGTAAAAAGTTTTGGGTAATGGGAGTACAAATATGCAAATTAGTAATGGGCCCTGCAACATTGTTACAACAAAGTATCTAAGGTGTGCAAAGGGTTAACAGAGCATTTTTTATTAATATTTCATGCTTCTTCTTACCTTGCTTTGAGATACTACTTGATTATGTTTACTATTTCATGATTGGGACTGTATCATGTCATTGATTTGTTCTTGCTTTTCAATTATTACAACATCAGAACAGAACCTCAACCCCGATGATTGAATGGTAACATTGACAATTCCAAACACCCTTGAGGGCGCACTTTATCTTACATGCATACTTTTGACACGCATTTTCAAATGACTTGGCTATAAAAGCTTATCCTGTCTGAACATCTGAACAAAGCATTTCTGCAAACCTCAGACAATTTTTTTTTTTTTCAACTTTTTTAGCATTATTGATATTGACTTTCTCTTGAAAACAACCAGCCTTGATTGCTTTGATACTTGGTATGTACATGTATGTACGTTAGGTAGACGCGCATCAATCAGTCATACCTGCAATCTTCTAATTTTATTAGAGAATATTTCTGTTTTTTGGTTATTTTTGTATTCAACATTCAAGATTTAAAGAGCTGTGATTTTGTTCAAATATATATCCACATAAAGATGCCAGTTCAGACAGAAATGTCTAACATGAACGCAGCTACTCTTACCAATCAGTGTCTAGAGTGTATACCACACCACACCACACTCAATACTTCATTAATTTACAATTGGATATTCAAATATTTTGAAATGTTGCCAAGTTTGTGTTGGTTTAATTGCAATGTGCCAATCTGGTGTGTTGTACAATCCGCCAACAGAAAGAAATCATGTTCATATGCATATGCAACTCAAATTGTTTGACAATAATATTTATTAAGCAGTATGTTTTTCATTTGACTCTGAACTTGCTTTCAGTCTGTGAATTAGTGCTCTGTTTGTCTGCAATACAATCAAGATTGCAGTTTTGACTACTCAACTGTTTGTCATGTGCAGGTATACACTCCCTATAAATTCATTGAGTCAACTAAGAAAATCCATGCCACACGCTCAACAAATTAGTGCTGTAGGGGAGTTGGGTGTAGGGAATAATGTGTTCTGTAATATGTTAAGCAGGTTGAAATTATTCTACATGATTACGTATAGTAGACAAAAAGCTATAAAGGTTTGCTTTTTTTTTTTTCAGTTGTCTGATGACTGGCAAATTGACTATGAATCCTACAGCTGGAAGAAACTTGACCCAGATGCAGAAGAAACTAAAACATTAGTCAAAGAATATTTTGCTTGGGAAGGAGACTTTGAAGGCAAGAAAGTCAACCAGGGCAAAGTGTTCAAATAAAGACGTATTTCATCTGTATTTCAGGCTTAACTACATCCATTATGCAGTCTTTTATTTTATTTTACAACTCTTTAACAGACATTAGAAGCAAATATCTAATATCTGTGTAATTAAATTTATTGTCATCCCTCCTTCAAACAAAATCAAATATGTAATCAAACTGTTCTACATAAATCTGGGATTTGCCTCTCACAGGCTGGATGAAAATTCACTTGTGCATGGTGAACTTCCTACTAGCAGATAATTTGCATGTAGGTGACTGCCGTGATAGAGAACGTTACACATGTTTGTTGTTGATCAAGCCACTGCTTTGTACGTGCATGGTACATTGCTAACAATAAAGGCAATCTCCCGTGCACCTAACAAATGAGTCATTTGTTTGTCGCTGTCTATCTGAATGGACTGTGTGTGATATAATGCAGCTTTTATGCTTATGGCATGCGAGTTGTACAGTGTTTAGAAATGCCCTCTTATTGTATTGATAAATGTGTAATAACCACAGTACGTGTACATTGTACTTGCAGCAGAACATTTCAAATGCATAATACAATCTCTTGGTCACGTATCAAAACAAGTAAAACAGCCACAGAATATTTTCAATGTCTCCCCCCCCCCCTATATCTCACTTGCACACAATTCAAGACAATAACGTTGCTGACCAATAATCTACAAGGCCAAACGTTAGCTCCACTATCAACGTAGATATAGCTGTTCATCTTGGCAAGTCGTTAGTTGAGTTTTCAACTCCTAGAAATTGATTTGATATCTGGTATGTCAAAACCTTGTGTGGATATTTGTCAAATTTGGTGAAGATATCTAAATTTCCCAATTTTTAGCGAATATTTGTGGTTAAAAAAAATGCCATTTTCAACTTGTACTAGAAAACCACTCGATCAATTGCTTTGATACTTGGCATATAGGTACTTTACGTAGATTTGTCCATTTCTTATCGATTTCTTCAATGCTATTTTTGACTCCTAGAAAACTAATTTATTAATACTGGTATACGTTTACCTTGGATGGACACGAGATTAGTTTGTTCTGTGCATTAGGGCTCGGACAACTAATAAATGTTATTAGTTGTCTGAGATTGGGGAGGGGTACCCAAGACAGCAGAAACAGTGGAGCTATTTTGACAGGTCACTTGTTTGATAACTACAAAATGTTTTGGCGATAATTGTCTGAAATTTGGTGAATTTGAATGTTTCTGCGATATTTCAGTCGCTAGTTTTTTTGCACTCGCAGTGTCTAATTATCTCCAACTGTGCTATTATCTCTAAGTATGCATTACCAGTGATAAAATTATGAAAGGATGCTATAATCAGAAATGTATACTCCATAAATAATTTAATTGCAGGTAATCAGCTGATGGTAAAACTGTTACCGACTAGCTAATAAGATTTGGACATGCACAAAAGGGTTGAAAGTGATGTTGCTTTCTGCTGTTTAGGAAATGATTGGATATGTGTTATAAATTGAATAATACAATTTGTGACCCATGATGGCAAACTTGGTCTTTTTTGGAAGCACACGAGGACTTGTTTTGATGCATGTGCGTCTCAATCTGTATCTGAAAACAATCTCATTCAAACTCCACAAATGCACCATGCATTATGGATGACGTGCATGTCCATTCATTTTGTGATCTGATGCAAGATACCATGTTTAAAGAATATTAGAATTCCCCTATGCTGAGGTTATTTGGAGGCATGAAGTACAAATAAGGAATACTGTATTTACTTTATTAAAACCATTTCAATCATTGAAATGGTTCATTTCGAGTATATATTATATGCCTCTTGCATTTAAAAATGTAACTGAAAGTTGTGATCAGGCGGTTCCAAGTGGCCATGTTATACAATTTAAAATATTTAATGATGAAATTATGATCATTCCCTTTGAGACTAACACCTTATCGTTGGTGGGGGTGTTTGCATGCTTCAATGACCTGGAGATTTGTGGGAAGGTCAACAGGTAGAAGACAGATAAAGTATAGTCCCTCGGGCTATGGGCTGACAACCCATTCCTACAAAAAATGATTATTACAGAAACCATAGGCTGAACGAATATTACTGAACCTAACATTTTGGGGGAAGCCATGACCCCTCCCCCTCACAGGAGTGAGATTAGGATGCGTCTGGGTGAAAACTGAGAGAAGCTATGCATTGTTGAGAAGGAAAGAAACGGGGCTGGATGGAAGTCATGGGCTGAAACCAGAGTAGCAGAAGCTGATAGGACAGAATGGAGACGTTTATTGGAGGCCCCATTTGCCACTAGGTATCTGGAGGATAGATATATGATGATTGATATTTCAGTCATCTTTGTCTGATGCCTTAAAGTACTGTTTCCATGTCACTATCTGCAGTGCTTAGTACATTGCAGTTATGCATATTATCCGGTCACATGACCATATTTGGTTATCTGATACATTTGTCATATCTTTTACCAAATACTTTTGTTATAGCACTGGTTGAATTGGGTCACGTGAATTCATTTATACTCAATGTTATCAAATATGCAAATTAGGTAATTATGCATGGATTACAGCCATAATTTAGCCAAGTCTGCGCATAATTTTAGACCGTCTATGTATCAAGTTTAATTGAAATATGTTGGGGAGTTCTTGGGAACACGCACACGAAGTTGTACGTACCCACTAACTGAAAAAAAAAAAAAAGACTCATTTTGGGCGCTGCACACTGGAGCCAATCATCAAAACCAAGTATTTCTGTCATTCCGGAGCCAGATCTCTTGTGTATGGACGGATTTTTTTCAAACTTGATAGAAACTTCAGACATTATGGGACCTTGATGTACGTCATTTTGTTTCTCATCAGATTCAAAATGGCCGACTGGTGGTCATTTTGTTATAATGAATGCTGTTCTATAACTATATCTGACATGCCTTGACCAATCATGTTCAAATAACAATCGTTAAGTACTGTGACCTGCCATGCTCTCTTAAACAGTAGTTGCTAAAAAGGTATGTTAAAAATGCCACAGCCCATTCCAGGGTGCTAAAAGTGGGCGTGTGGTCTTTCGTAATTCATATATAGGGTTAATATCTCGTATATACAGTCATAGTTTTCGATACAGTATGTTAAAGGTATGTTAGTATGTCCACCATAGTAGTTGGTAAACAGTTCTTTTATTAAGAAAGTTGGCGACTGTTACTTGGCAACGTTTTTACAGTTGCCTTAGATGGCGACCACCTGACGAGAATATAAAGTATGTTGTCATTTATTAACCACATTTTACATTATGCGTGTTCTATTTTACATTGGGTATCTAGATGAGTTGTTTGTATATGAATTGTTCTCTTTACTTATTCTACCTGTACGCCGACATATGTTTTACATTTGTCACTGGACATCTAGACACGTGTTGTCCATACAAGAATTGTTCACTACTTATTCTACCTGTGCATAAACATATGTGTTTCATGTTGTCATTGGATATCTGGATGAGTTGTCCATGCAATAATCGTTATCTCTACTGTACTTATTCTACCTATACATATATACAGAAGGAGAGCAAAAAAAAACGGCGTTTTACGTTTTTACAGAAAAAAATGAAAGCTCCATTTACAGTAAAAAAACACTTTACAGATAAAGCAAATTCCTAATTACATTTTACTTTTTTATAATATTTTTGATAATTTGAGTTTAGGAATCAAAATTTCAAATTGCGTACGAATACTACATTTTATTCGGGAAATGTTTTATATGCTTACAAAAAATAATATATTACGAACGAATAAAATAGATGATTACATTTTACACCTTGCCCATGTTTACAAATTTGCGTTTTCTATTTATTTAAATTTCATTATTACATATATTATAAAATAAAAACAATTGATTACTGCTTACGAAAATATCCCTTGCAGACATTCCATACATGTGTGTTCTATTTATCACTGGGTGAGTTGTCCATACAAGAATTATTCATTCTACTTATTCTACCTGTGCATTTCAGATTTATGTATACGTTGATTATAGAGAATGTACGTATGATTGAGAATATAATATTGACGTGTTATGGTACAAAGTGTCATGTACATTTCAATATGTCATCGATATTTGATATGCGATAGACCAACGGAAAGGCAGAGACATTGATTTATTGATCGATTGATAGATTGTGAATTGCCCAATAAAAGTCTGTATGCTTAGTTATGTAGGTTTTCTTCGTGATTCGGACTTGACTTACACATGCACGTTATTATTGTCTCAAAATAAACGTTAATGCAATCATTGTCATTGTCATTGTAGCCCGACAACGACCCATGCGTACGTTGCCTTTGTGAGACCAAAGTCGAAGAAATCACTGATATTGTGACTGCATTTATATGCAAATATCGACCCTATGCCACTGCGTATAGCTGCGTGTTCCTAAACGCATTCCTATGCTCCTTCTATTCAACGCTAAAATGAATGGAGGCGAGGGAATCGTCAACAGCCAACAAGTGGGTCTTTGAAACGTGACCGAATCTCGTCAAGTGTGTGAATTTTCACTTTGTGGACATGGCGTTCGTCCTAAGCCATTTGATTTGGTTGTTGAGCCTGCCGTTACTGGCCGTGGCACAAAATTGCGACGAGAACTGTACTGGTACGATTGTTGGGGTAGCGATTGGGTGTGTTCTGGGCACCTTAGTTATTGTCGGCATCGCCATTTTATTATTCATGCTGTATAGAAAGCGAGTGAAGGGTAAGTGTAAACGAGGCTAATTTATACGAGTTGTTGAAGTTTAAAACCAGAGGTGTGTCACCGAACCAACTCACGCTGATACTACGTTGCGACTTCCTCCTTAGCATCGTCTTTGTTCGTTAAAATACACGCCGATTAACTTAAGTGAATTTGAGAAAGTGGGCAAGGTCGGCAAGAAAACTCGCATGCGGAAGACATATGAGCTCCCGTGCTACTACGTCTTACGACAGGAGGACTGTTTGCCCCGTTCTGTCGTGCTAATATGCCACTTGTTATATGTGACACACCTTGTGAACACATTTTACGTTTTTTAATGCGATCGACGGCGACGTCTTGCGATAAACTGCTTTATGGCGGCAGTCAATACTTCAGTGCAACAATACAACAAATCCCCAATCAGAACACGGGTCCAGGGGATGTTAATGAATTGCGAAGGTGTCAATTGTATGCTCTGCGCCGACCGTCAAACCAGTTCACATGCTCAAAACAGTACAATGTGTCAAGCAAACCCTTTTTTATACCAGCGTATAACAATGAAAAGTCATATAATAGAGCGAATGGACAATGGCTGTGTAAAGCGTACTTGTATTTATCGACTTAACTAGGCGGTACACAAAGCAGGTTGTTATAAATCTACACGTAAACGTGTAGAACAGAGTCACAGTGCTAATGTCCCATACACATACATGTCTTGTCCAACTCAATATTATGTATATGCGATATTCGTATCTAATTTTGCCATGTGCCTTACATGAGTTATTGCATGGACACTATTGTGTGGGACATGTATATACTTTTAACTGCTGCCATTCTTTGATTGACTCAAGGCTGCGGTATAATGAATCTTTGTGGGTAATTATGTAACCCTGTTCATTATAATCCATTCCATGTCTTATTTAAATGCATCTAACGTATACAATAGCGCCTGCATGTATGGGTTATAGTTATTCTACAGCAAACCATCTAGAAATGCTAGAAACGAAAGCGGGAAATGCAATCAGCCACTTCTCGTTATTCGCCTTTGTCAGAAAATTAACTTCCTCATGCCGCCACGTATATTGAAATGTACAATTCAAGAATGGATGTATTTTATATTTTTTAGCTCGTAGAGACCACCAAACTACACTGGGCACCATCGCTAACCCCAACGTTGTACCAGATATACAGCACACACAAAATTCGAATATCGAGCAAGGTATGTTGTGTATAATAGTACTAATCAAATTTCGGAAATCAGTTCCATCTTCGGTAAACTTAATTTATTTTATTATCTATATGGTCCTTATCATAAATGGACACTTGAAAGTACGCAAATTAATGCAGATACTTTTATGTGACCAAATGGGAATTGGATTGATAATATCGATTTATATAAATAAAATAATTAATATTTTGTCCGATGTTTTCAGAATATGATTAATAGATTCCGAAATTCGTTTTGACGCACGAATTCAGTATACAAGTAACAGAATATGTTACATGCCCCGGAGTCTGTAATTAGAAATCTAAAATAGAAGTAGAGAAAACAGTTCCCGCCAAGCGTCATTGTTATCGCAATGCGTAATAAAATTCAGTAGTTACAGAAATAACTTAGTTACGGTGATAGTAAATACTATGTCAATCAAAGTAGACGCATGTCGTGTGTCTGGCTGCATGCCTATATAGATGTGACGTCCATGCTTTACTTCTTATGTTAGCAGCACGGTATATTAATAATATTCATATGGACGCCGAGTTATCTGCAACCAGATTTATGCCGAAAAGACACAAGTACCCATACATGGTGATGTACATTTAGACATTTCGGCGACTATCGGCGTATTAGTAACATGCGATTATCTGCATTCTCGTGCTTTGCGATTATCTGGGTTTTCGCGATACGATTATCTGGATTCTCGCCATGCGATTATCCGGGTTTACGGGCTATGTGTTTATCTGAGTTCCCGCGTCATGTTATCTTGGTTCTCGTGGCATGTAATTATCTTGTTTGTTTTTTTTTTTGCGACATGCGATAATCTGCGTTATAGCTCCGATGCGCTAAACTTACAGGCCAACAAAATACTTTTTTCTAGTCAGTGATCGGTTCCTGAAAAACCATTATAAAAAACTCAAAAAACAAACAAACAAACGAGAAACATGACGCGTCATCGCACAATTTGTTTAAACATCCCAAGACCAGAAAAAAGTGTTTCGACGGCATGTTTTACCATATCATCTTTTTTTGACTTGGTATTAATTTGTTGTGTACCACGATGCATTTACAGAATAATATTGCCTTCAGTTCGCGAAGCTGATTCGTGACGTAATTTAACACATTTGGACATGCACTATGTAGTTCTGTTTCCACGTTTCAACATAGATAGTTCTATTTTTAACTTTCATGATTTTATAAACGTTTTTTTTTTCATTATATAAAATAAGGTAATGCGTGAAAACCAGACGGCGATCAGCAACATGGTGACGTGAAATGTCCGTATTGATTGGTCAACCAGTCACACATAGTTGTGAATATCATTCATATGTCATTTATACAATTAACGTCATTTATACAATTAACAATGAGAAAATTATAATGCCCAACTACATTTCGCTGTATCACAAAAAAGTTTTTTTAGATATTTATTCCATGGTAGTGTAGTAGTAGTAGTAATAATAATAATAATAATAAACCCAAGTCTGCAAGAGATACAGAAAATTGTTCTTAATACACTGCACACCTGCTGAGAAAAGCGTTATCGATTCAGACTTTCTACGTGTTGTTGTTAATGATTTGGTACAATGTGTGTATGATTATCGTTTTGTGCCATCCTTCCTTTTAGCCTCAGGTCTTTTGGTAAGACCCGGCATTAGGACTGTAAACAGCAGATCAAAAGAACATACTAGAAAACATAATAAAAATAACAATAAAAACAACAACAACAACAACAACAACAACAACGTTAATTATGATTGTAATGTAAATATTCTGTGGTACACGGAAATAGTTTCTTCAAATTAGTCGAGCCTATGCCTCCTAATAGATACAAATAAGAATGTGATCTGTGGCCAACTCACTGGTACTAAAACTGCAACGTCACACAAATATGCAGATAACGAGATAACAAATAGCAAGATCTAAGCTGGAATCCAAGCACTCACTTGTTGTACGAATAAAAATGGCGCATTGTCAACAGAGGCGAAGCCGAGTTTCACATTGGTAATATTATCACTGAAATGCAGAGCATTTCGAATTGAGCCCCACTTTCATACAACTATCCAACATACTATCAATACAATTACATGGAATAAACAAGTAATGAACTCGCACCCATCATTATATATTCTTACGATGTAACATTTCTTCAGATAAGACTAGGCGAATGGCATTGTAATTTGGGAGACAACCATTCCTTCAAGTTGGATATGACTTGGTCAATGTCATTATAACTTTGTATACAGCAATTTCTTGAATATGACTTGGTCAATGTCATTATAATTTTGATTACAACCATTCCCCAGATACGACTAGGCCAATGTCATTGTAACTTGGGATACAACCATTCCTCAGATACGACTAGGCCAATGTCACTGTAACTTGGGATACAACCATTCCTCAGATACGACTAGGCCAATGTCACTGTAACTTGGGATACAACCATTCCCCAGATAAGACTAGGCCAATGTCATTGTAACTTGGGATACAACCATTTCACAGATAAGACTAAGCCGATGTCACTATAACTTGGGATACAACCATTTCTCAGATACGACTAGGCCAATATCCTTGTAACTTCGGATACAACCATTCCTCAGACAAGACAAGACCAATGTCACAGTAACTTGGGATACAACCATTCCTCAGATACGACTAGGCCAATGTCACTGCAACTTGGGTTACAACCATTCCTCAGATACGACTAGGCCAATGTCATAGTACCTTGGGGTACAACCATTCCTCAGATACGACTAGGCCAATGTCACTGCAACTTGGGTTACAACCATTCCTCAGATACGACTAGGCCAATGTCATAGTAACTTGGGGTACAACCATTCCTCAGATACGACTAGGCCAATGTCATAGTAACTTGGGGTACAACCATTCCTCAGATACGACTAGGCCAATGTTACTGTAAGTCGGGTTACGACCATTCCTCAGATAAGACTAGGCCAATGTCATTGTAACTTGGGATACAACCATTCCTCAGATACGACTAGGTTAATGTCCTTGTAACTTGGGATACAGCCATTTCTCAGATACGACTAGGCCAATGTCATAGTAACTTGGGGTACAACCATTCCTCAGATACGACTAGGCCAATGTTACTGTAACTCGGGATACGACCATTCCTCAGATAAGACTAGGCCAATGTCATTGTAACTTGGGATACAACCATTCCTCAGATACGACTAGGTTAATGTCCTTGTAACTTGGGATACAACCATTTCTCAGATACGACTAGGCCAATGTCATTGTAACTTGGGATACAACCATTCCTCAGATACGACTAGGTCAATATCCTTGTAACTTGGGATACAACCATTCCTCAGATACGACTAGGCCAATGTCACTGTAACTTGGGAAACAACCATTCCTCGGATAAGACCAGGCAAATGTCACTGTAACTTGAGATACATCCATTCCTCAGATACGACTAGGCCAATGTCATTGTAACTTGGGATACAACCATTCCTCAGATAAGACTAGGCCAATGTCATTATAACTTGGGAAACAACCATTCCTCGGATAAGACCAGGCAAATGTCACTGTAACTTGAGATACAAGCATTCCTCAGATACGACTAGGCCAATGTCATTGTAACTTGGGATACAACCATTCCTCAGACACGACTAGGCCAATGTCACTGTAATTTGGGATACAACCATTCCTCAGATAAGACTAGGCCAATATCCTTGTAACTTCGGATACAGCCATTCCTCGGATAGAGCTAGGCCAATTTCACTGTAACTTGGGATACAACCATTCCTCGGATACGACTAGGCCAATGTCATTGTGACTTCGGATACAGCCATTCCTCAGATAAGACTAGGCCAATGTCACTGCAACTTGGGTTACAACCATTCCTTAGATACGACTAGGCCAATGTCATTGTGACTTCGGATACAGCCATTCCTCAGATAAGACTAGGCCAATGTCATTGTAACTTGGGATACAACCATTCTCCAGGTAAGACTAGGCCAATGTCACTGCAACTTGGGTTACAACCATTCCTCAGATACGACTAGGCCAATGTCATTGTGACTTCGGATACAGCCATTCCTCAGATAAGACTAGGCCAATGTCACAGTAACTTGGGATACAACCATTTTCCAGGTAAGACTAGGCCAATGTCATTGTAATTTGGAATATAGCAATTCCTCAGATACGATTTGGCCAATGTCATTGTAATTTGAGTTGCAACCATTTCTAACCAATTATTTGATTGACGCCGTTGTGGCCGCCTTCTTCTGTACATGGGTCATGTACGCCAATTACATTATGATCATAAAAAAAGAATGTTTGCAAGAAAGCTGTTTGTAGTGTACTAAATATGTATTTATTGACACAGCACTGATTCTGGATACTACTGCAGTATGGTCACAGAAAACGAACTGCAAAACACTAATTAACTGAACACAGTGTGAAGCAAAAACCACACACAAACTTCAAATTACAAAGTTATTTTTACAAAGCCAATTACACAAATTACGTTATTGACACGCGTTCACGTGCCCTAGCGTATACAATAAGGAGGTACTGAAAATGCAATATTTATTCATCGGGTTTCAAATTCACTATTTAGTTAAACCCACGAGAACATGTAAAGTAACAGTGGAACTCGTTGTTTCTTGGACAAATGCATGAACTCAAAACCAATTGAATATGCTCAAAACATCAAAATAAAATAAATGATTTTAGAATATTTTAGTTTTCTTTTATTGCACACTGAGATTGTAATTCATTTGCAAAAATATGCCCTCAACATAATGTTCATGCGAATAAAATAATATAACATTTAGGGGATGTTCCTAGTGTTTCCAATTGAAAATATTATCCTAAGAACTTGAATACATAGACAAATGTATACAGCGTCGGACGAGGCACATGTACCTGTGAATTCTTAAATGATTTAGTGTCATTGCTAAAGTATTTCTAATGACGACATGTCGGTTCAATGTGGTCTAACTGTTGATTACATATGTGTATCTCAAGTGAAG